GTCATGAGGGAGATGAAAGCAGAGCTGTAAACTACCAGGAGGACATAGAAGCAAAAGGGTGAATAAGTCAGTTACTAGCTGTGTTGGATGAACTTTTCTCAGGACACTCTTCTAGGAAAACTTCTATCTTGGTATCCCCTTTTTGTAATAGTCTTCTAATTAATATGACAAGCCGCTACAGTCCCTTTCATTATCAGGACTGTAAAGCAGCTTTGCGTTTCATTCTCCTCTTGTCCTCTTGAAGGTCTGCTGCATACAGCACAGGTCTACACAGTGGTCCTCTTTTTCTCAAGGCCTTCCTGGATCCAGCGGTCCAAGGCAAGGAACCCAGGAGAGTATTCATCATCTTTTTTCCCAGCTTCCATACGGAGTGAACTTGATGTGTATTCTTTGCTCTTCTAGTGCTCGTGATGCTCTCGTTCCCACTGATGCATTTATTTCCTGGTACTTCTTTTTGGTAATTTTTACAAAAACAATGAAAACCATTAAACTGAATGGCTGTGATCCTTGGCCTTCCATGGCAATAAATAGCTTTTGTAGCTGAGGGTTTTGATCAACCTCAGAAAACTATTACAATTGTAGTCTTGTGCCCTACATATTGTATGCAACCAGAGGACCGTTTCAAATATTGAGATTTGCCAAACCCCACAGATTGTTTTTGTAAAAAAACAAAGTCTTAAATGTGTTCTTCACGTTTTGCTGAATAGGGATATCTCCCAGTTTAGTCATCTCTCTCTCTCCTTCCTTTAATTCTTTGCCCTGAGCTGAGGTGGCATGGAAAACAATTTCTCTTTTAGAGAGATATTCCTTTTTCTGTAGTTTCTGGGGTTTTTTGGTTTTCCTCCTAGGAACTGCAAGCTTATAACCTCTATACTAGTTCTTTATCCTCTCCTCTGTTCCTCATCCCCATGAGGAGTGGCAGGATTCTGGAATATGCTGATCTCTGTCTTTAGGAAACATTCAGTAGTTTCACCACAGAGATTCTTGCCTGTAGCCTGATTGACCTTTCAAGGAGCTAGTGACTTAGATGCTTGTAACACCTGCAAGCCTGCATTTGTATATTTTTACAAAATACTTAGTTTTTACTGTTAAATCTATTTAGTCTGCTTTTTGTAACCTTTGCTTAATTAGCTTGTCCTTTGTAAAGTTTAATGATGCTAGCAAATATCAACAGAATGTAAGGTTAAGGTAAAGGTAGAATCTCAGAGTATGAAGTTACTCTAACATGCCTGGGTTATTGCTGGCAGGGGGAGAATAAAAAGCTGCTGCTAACATTTGTCCTGCCTTCTGGAAGCTTAGAGGTAGCGTGTTCTTGTTCGTCCTCTTTGTGGCCAAAGCCATGATCATCTCAAAACAGCCTACCCAGAAGACCAGGCAAAGTGTGTGGAGGATGTGGGTGGTAACCAAAGGTATCAGCTTTCAAATGCAGAAGGCATACTGTAGGAAAACATATTTCGTGCTTGTCTGGGGATAATTTTATGGATGTTTTTAAGAGAAAATAAAACAGCATTACAGCCTATTGTAATGCAGATTCTTCTGTAGGGACTAGTCTGCAACAAATCTGGTATTAGAATAAGAATTATCTTTCTTAGTGCAGAATAGTGAATTTTCAAAAGGGAAGAAGGTACTTATTATTCTAGAAACTGTAATACAGTTGAAAAAGGGAAAAGGAATTGATGGTTTCACATCATGGCTGTCTCATGTTTTTTGATGAAGTCTTGCTTCTTAGGTGTTGTTTCTTTGAAAGTTTTTGCCATATATGTTACTGCAGAGCTGATTAGGTTGGACTGATTATGATGTCCTTGTAAGTACTTTTACATTGGTATCAGAGATGCAGTTACTCTGCACGTAACCATATTTTTCTACCTGGTATTGTTAATATTTGTTCTTATTTTTATTTAATATTTGATATAAATGCTAGGGATACCAACTTCAGTAAAGGTGTTTTAAGATCCTTGAAGGAAAATCACTGTAATTGTGATGCAATGGATACTACAGAATCAAGGAAAAATATTAAAATACTTAAGGTGTTACAATTACAACTCCTGAGTAGGTACAATACTCCCCAAACTGAGCAACTGCATTCGAGCTATTTGAACAGGTAGTTGCACCCAGATGCCTGAAACTACCTCCTAGACATTATAAGATTATTTTAATTGCTTGTGCTTTTCTTGGTTTAAAAACTAATACTTAGCAAGAAACAGTTTTCTAAAAACTGTAGGTGAGATTATAAGTAGTCTTTATTTCTGTTTCCTTTATACTATTGAATAACGACCTATAAATTACTGTTGTAGCTCACTTCTGATTCTTTGTACTGGAGACTGCCATGTGTCCTGATGTGCCCTCTCCTCCCTGTGTTTTCAGCCTCTGCAGGTTTGACAACATGGGACTAAAATGAGGGAGTTTGCCTGGAGCACAGCTCTGTCATGGTTCTGGTTGAGCTGGTGCTAATACCAGCACAGCTACGTCTTGCTATCAGTCTTATGCCCCTTTTCCTTTGAATAATCAAACAGAAGATTAGGGGCTTAAGCTAAGATAAAACCCAGAAATCCTTTTTGACTGTTTTGGGATAGCAGGGAGACCTTCTCTTTGGGTTGTAGGGGTTTTTTTTTTGTTTGTTTGTTTGTTTTTTATTTGGAGGATGCCCTTGTCCTTTTTCCTTTCTAGGCTTCAGTTGCGTTCCTGTCCGCTTCTCCTCCTTGTTAGTAGCTCCTTTCCTTGGAGCCCTGTGCTCTGCTGTTGTGGGAACCATGGACACCTCCGGCCACCTCTGCCAGTGGGGCAAGCCCAGCAGCCCTTCCCAAGCCCTAAAGGCTTCTGTGCTGTCCACTGCATTTCCATGTATGCAGGGCAATAAAAGTTAAATGAAGTAATTATTAGAACTCTGATAAATAGATCTAGTTACTCCAAAGTGTAAAACGGCTGAGAAGCACTTTTTTTTTGCCTGTCTGTATCCACATTCGTAGATCAGTTTAGTTTCTGCCTAATCTAAGCACCAGTATAACTAATTTAAATTTAAAGAAAGGAAGGGAGGCTTGGGCTATAATTTGAGCGAGTGATGCTCATGACAGTTGTCTCCCTTCTTGTCCTAGTCTCATGCAGGTCTCTCTTATGGGCCATTTATGCAGTTATGGAGTGAACTGGCTCAGAGAGTTTTATCTAGCTGAAAAATTGCCTGACAAGAAATTTACTTACCTTTAAAGCAAGTTAACTTCCCTTTTCAGTTCACCATAGGGCTGCAAAGCACATCTGTGTGGGCAGAGGCAAAAGAGCCTCCCAGGGATTGGGAGAGGCAGGACTGCCGCAGTGCCAGCTTGCTTTGACTGAAGTTAGTGGAGCTGAGGCACGTAGCTTAGTGGTGCTGTTTCCTACCAGGTCACTCAGCTGAACTGATTTGTCCTTTTGCAAAAACATGCTTAAAAGTTTTATGACAGCTTTGTGTTGTCTGCAACGTAATAAATGCTGGGAATAGTTATTGCACTGATATTCTGCAGAAAGTTAAAATGAAGGATATTAAATTGTAATCATTTTTTCTCAGTCATGAAAATCAGAGCATAGAAGTAAATCTAACTTGTGAGCTATCTGTGTTTGGTATTTTTCATATATTTACAAAAGACACTTTATTTTCTTTCCTTTATGGTAGAAATTCCAAATAAGAAATTTTTGAGGAGAAATGTAACTCTTCTGTTCAAATTCTGTATATTGCTCATTGTAATCCTCTGTTTTGTTGCCAGATTACCCTAGTAATAGCACATATTCAACACTGTATAATCTCATAATATAACTTTACGGAATTAGTAAACTTTATAAGGTGACTTAAAAATGACTAGAGAAATGTTAGTCTCTGTTGCCTTTTGGTCTAGAAGTAGCTGAAGATGCTCTGAAAAATAGTGTTTGAAGGTGGTAGGTAACTTAAATTCTGCTTCTTTCCTTAATTTCAGTACATTACACTTTTAATTTCTTTCATTTCATCTAGACTTTTTTATAAGCAATTTTAAAATGAAGTGATTGTCACTCAAAATAAGTGTATCTGATAGTACAGCTTTTATAATGTAAACATCACAGCTAATGCTATTCTGAAGCGTAATATCAACATCAAAAGGCAAGTAATAGGGTATTTGGGCAGAAAAACCAGGTATTTAGTGTAACTGTGTTGGACTGTACAGTGTTCTGAACAAATGTCCTTTAAAGGGTTTTTAACTCAGAAACTAAGAAGTAAAAAGCTGTGCTTGATAAATTCTCATCCTTTTGTTTTGAAGAAAGTGGATTTGGCAATGCAGTATTATTTTTCTAAATGGTCTGTGTTGTTTAACTATTCAAAATCACTGGCTGTCCTCAAAGTTCTGAATTTGGTTTTGAGGCGACTGAAAGCAAACTGCAACTGTACTTCTACGCGGAGAATTCAGGGAACAGCATTTGTTCTTGTTAAGTCGAATTTCTCAATGAAAAAACTCCTCGATCCTCAACTGAAGAGACTTCTTAGTTTTGTTTTTTTTTAAAAAAACCTGAAGTTTTTCACTTAGCAATACAAATTTCGGGTTGTGCTGTAATATGTGCTATACTTCTCAGCTTTGTGACAGTAAAAAAGCCAGTTAGTATCAATAATGTACACAGAAAAATACTAGTATCGTGAAATAAAAGTAATTCTCAACCTTTGTGCATTCTATATGAAGACCTTTTATTTAGTAAGGCAGAAATTGGAATGTGCTGCCAGAGCTTTCTCTTTTAGTTTTGGTTCATTGTGCACATTGAACAGAACAGAAATATTCAGGATACTGGTAATGCTCATAATATTTGTATGTGAGCAATTTTAAATCTTGGACTTTCCTCCGCTTTGATTTGTATGGTCCTTCCATGGTACTTTCTGCTGCTAGTTTGTGACAGTTTTTGTATACTAGTGTGTGCTATATGAACAATGCTGTGTTATTTCTGTAGATTGACTTTCTCTATGTATAGATAAGAAAAATCTTATTTTTCCTATTTTTTTTTTTTTCACTCTTGCAGAAAATTCTAAGCTGAGACATGTAGAAAAAGATGTTTTGATTCCACAAATAATGAGGGAGCGAGCCAAGGAGCTGTGTTCAGATAAAGTGCAAGGTAAGAGTCAAATATTCATTGGGAGATGAGATGTTTTCACTTTTGTGCCCTGAGTAGAATTCTTTTTATTGAAGTCAAGTAGTCAGGGAATGAATATGTATGATCTGCATCTTATCTGTTCACTGTGAAACCAGTAGTAAGGCATCTGTTGGTTGGCTTTGGCTGCTTGGTGAAATAGACTGCTTTCCAAAATGACTTGTTCTCAAGGCCTGTGGAATTTAGTATGAGTAATATAAAACTTTCCACATCTCAGTCTAGACTATGTGATGACAAAGCAACACCAGAGTTACTATATTCCTGTATGTAATATTTCATACTTACATAAATGCAATTGCCTCATGTGAACCATCAGTTAGGGCCTCCCTCATTATAATAAATTTATTTGAATATTCCCAATTAACTGCATCCTTTTCCAGCCCCAATATTTTAATGATACATGCACATAAACACACACTTGTTATTAGGCAGACATTGGAACAGGATGTGCATGTTTTCATTTTCTTTTGAAGAGTAGTGGACAGTAACTCTTTAAAGTTGGGTATCGCCACTTCTTCTGACACCCAACTGTTCATATATTCCTGGAAGAAATCTGGAACTTTCTGAAGTACCAGAAAGATAGAGCTACTTACGGGTTAGCTGAGAGTGTTGCTGTAAGAGGGATGTAAGAATAGGAAAAAAAAAAAAATAGGCCACAGAATTACTCTATACAAGTGACATGTGATTAGTAGAGGACACTTGCCTCTTGTCATCTGGATATGTGCTCTCTAAACTTTTTTGATTGCACATCCCATCAGTAAAAAATTTCTGAGCACACAATCCCAATATATGTATTTTTTTTATAAATTATATGCATGTACCACTGTACTAGTATATAATGTACATTATGAAACACAAAAGTACAATTTAAAAAAGGATGAGATAAAGATAAAATAAGCTGTACTTTAAAATATTTTTCATTGTCAATAGTAAAACCCCCTTTTCGCTCTAAAAATATTACTGTTAATAACAAGAATTTTATTGAGAGCTATGTGATTAAATATGCTTCATTATTTTTTAAAATCTATGTTTAATACTTTGTGATACAACAATTTGAAGGTCTGGTTCTAAGTTCAGTTTATGTCAATACTTGGTTTTAATGGGTGTCATAGCTGAAAAAGATACCTCACAAAGATGCATAGATCACAAAGGAAGAAGTGCATCATTGCCTGCACTTACTAAACCATGGTTTTCATTTTTCAGTCCCATCCACCAATTATGCAGAGGTTTTGCTTGAAATTGGGCTAGTAAATGACCATCTTCCCTGATGTCAATCAGTTGTTTCTCCAAACTATTCAGAAGTTGTTGCATATCTGTATTTTTGCCAAATAGGGTCAAAACCCACTAAAGCTCTTATTTGGAAGACTTCTAAATAGGTCAGAAAATTCTGTTTCTGTCGTTTTGAAGTATACAGACATGAGAGGTTTTTATAGGTGACACACTCACATTGCCCAAAAGAAAAATCACATAACGAAGGGAACACATCCAAACATCTGTTTTCAGAATGCTCTCTCCATAGCATAAGTTTCTTTTGAAAAGTGATTGCTTTCCCATTCGTTGTTAAAGCATCACGTTCTTCTGAAGGGACACATTAAGTGTTTATTTTTTGTAAATACTTGCTAAGTAGCATACTTCTCAGAGCCACCTGTCATCACCAAAAAGGTCAGAAAATTTGGAATACTTGCTTTTTTGTAAAAGAAAAATAGTTAAAGTTTAACAACCAGAGATAACCAGCAAACCTCTGTGTGATGTAAGAGATTTTCTTGGTCCCTCCTCATCTCATTACAAATTCTAGTAAATGCGCTTCTGTTTGAAAGTCTTGTTATTATAAAGTTAATCACATCGATGTCATCTTGTAGCACCTTGTGCACTCCTGGCTCTAACTTCCTGGCTGCAATAGCTCACCTGTGAGTGATGCAGTGAAGGAATTCCACGTGGGGTGCTATCTCTGTAACCGTACCCTTTTCTATTCCAGTCAAAGCAGCTGCTCTATCGATGGTTACACTTGCACAGTTTTTCCATAAAACATTGTTTATTATTAAAGAAGGCATTTCCTGTTGAGAATATATCTTCTCTGGTACGGCTCTCCTTTAGTGGGTCACCCCCCAAAAAATAAAAATCTTTGTGCATTTTATTTTTGAAATGCAAATACTGTGACCTCAGAGAAGTTTGAAACATCTGGACTTTGATCCAGCTGTATAGCAAAGCCGCTGCACTGCGTTACTACTAATCCTTGTTTCTTCAAATCTTCAGCAGTGTCTTCTATGCATTTTCCAACAGTATTTGCTGAGAAAGGAGCACATGCTGTTTTTATCATTTTCTTTGGGGGTGGACCAGAGAGGTGTGTGTGTTTTCTCCTCTGAACTTTCTCTATGTATGATGCAAACTTTAAGTATCTTAAAGCCAATACTGGAGATTTTTGAGCTCTGAGTTCTGTACCATTACCTTGCATTTTCTCCATGATTTTGCCTCCATAAATTTTAAAGCAAAATGCTACCTTTTTTTTTCTTTTGTGGCGTTTGGCAAAGCTACAATTTTTTTCTTCTTTCTCCTGAATAGAGTTCAGTTGTGTATCTTTAGGAAAGTGAGGTTTGTAGATGCATGTCTCCCCTTCATTCCTGTCACCTGTAAGCCAGCACTGATCAAATCGTGTAGAATTTAGTGGTGGAAACTGAGTATTTCTGATGCAATTTTTATGATCAAATAGACAAGCAAAACCCACATTGATATCCCTAATAAAAAAATGCGGTAGCATCAGTTCAGCAATTTTGTTCTACGCGTTTTAATCTGGGTGGGGGGAGGGGAGAGACCAAACCATGGGAAATGAAGCTTAAGCAGTTTTGTGAACATGAGAATTTATTATCTCTTAAATCCATTCTGAAATTATTCCTGGAATAAATTTGTCTTGTTAGTACACAGGGATAGGTGTTAATCAGAGTAAATAGGCTATGGTTTTTACGCTGTAAACAATTATGAGCTATGAGCATAAGCTGTGTAATTAAGTAATCAAAACTCCTGCAATCCGGTTTGTGTGCTACAGAGTGCACACATGTGCTTGAAATTGTGCTGTTTACATCAAGTAGCATAGCTACTCATTTAACTTGCTTTCAGTGTAGGATTTTTCTCCTTTATGTTAATTTTGTTTGAACAGCTCCTATTAATATACCTTTGTTCCATTTTGTCTTTAGGAAATTGTGGTAAATGCACTGGTAATATAGGAAATAAAGCAATTCTACAAGTATAGGCCTTTACAATTTACTTGATCACACAAGGTTCATATGTGTCCCTATGGGGAGCCCCTATACATTCAATAGTGCTCTGCGTGAGCATGGGGGTCCATCTGTATACAGTCCGTTACCTTAGCCTGCAGCTATACCACCTAGAGCGGTGTGCTTATCACAGCTAATAATGCAAGTAGTGACAGCCTGTCCAGCACGTGTTCAAGAGCCATCCAGGGAAAAGAAACCCCAAGAGTTAAAAAATAAATAAAAAATAAAGGTTTTGTTAACTCAAGAGGTGATCCCGCTACTTTAGCACCGTTAAATGGGTGACCCATTGCTGTACTTGGTTGTTAATGTACCAAAATAACTTAAGGATGAAATACCATAAAAATGTGTACATCTGATAATTTTAAAGAACAATTAAATATTGTCTCTGGTCCTATTTCATTTTACTTAGATTGTTTAAATTTTCTTTGAACTTTTTAAGTTTTTCCAGTATAGGTCTTATATATGCTGCATGTTTCTCAAGAATTTAGTGCATCTCAGTTGCAGAATAATTTCTGTGTGTTTAAGATTTTCAAGTATTTTTTCAGTGAAAATGGATATATTAGTAATTTGGTTAAGAGGGTAAATATGCTTTCTGCAAAACACTCGGCAATTTTCATGACCGTTAGGTAAATATGCTTTATTGTGTTAACATCCATGTACTGTATTTGTGTGAAATTTTTGGCTATTGCAGGAGTATCAAAAGTGTGGTAAAAAACAAGCAAATAAAAAAAAACCCTCAACAACATTGTCATACAGGAACTTTTCATTGTATTTGTACAAGCTGTAGCATGAGTTCGTCTGAAATATTAAATCCATGTATTTCTGTATCAGTGTGTTCTTGGCATATGAAAATACATACTTTCAAACTGAAGTAGCTAAAAGGAACATTTATTTACCATTGCCTCACCCATTGTTTTTATGAAATTATTTCTTAAGCAAGTTTTTGGCTTTAATTTCCAGTTATAAAATTTTAACCTGAGTAAACTTTTTAAAAGCAAAATCATAGCCGATTTCAGGAAGATAGCATTTTCCTTTAGAAAGATTACGTTTAGCTTATCAAAACTTCTGTAGTTTTATCTGGCTGTGCTGTGCTTTCCATGACTCCTCTCTTCTCTGAAACTAGGCACATTCACTAAAAAAGAATGTGCAGGAACTTTGGTTGATCTTGATCGTATCTACTGACATGTTTGCTCCATTTCTTAAGAGCACTTACTCTATTCAGAGTTACCACTTCTGAAACTTTACTTGATGGGTTCAGGTAGAGAAGAACTTTAAAGATACAAACTTTAAAGATTGTACACTCAGTTCAGTTTGATTTTGGGTTACTTGGCTTGCAAAATAAAAACAGACAGCTGAGTGACAGGTTGTGGGTTTTTTCTGTCCTCTGAAGAAGTTGTCTGAAGTTGAGACCCCAAAAAGAAACTGCTGGATCACCCGGTCAGTCATGAGATCATAATTTTGTATTATACTTGTTGTAAATGTTTTGTGTATTTGTGGTATTATAAAGCAATTCTGCCCACCTTCCAAAACTTCACAGTCTTTTTTTTGCTGGGAGAAAAACAATCTTGCTCCAGAGACAAGGGGATTTAGTTCTAAACTTTTTTCTTTTAAATTTTGCTGTCTACTACTGATACATTGTCTAGGTTTGGGCGTTCAAGGGTCACCAAGACTGACTTACAAATGTAATTGTGACTC